ATAGACAGAGAGAGACAGAGAGACAGAAAGCAAGAAATCACTCCCCAGGGGGGATGGCTACGCCACAATCCCTTCTCCTCCATTCTCCTCTCAGGATCATGGGCACGCACACATACGCGCCTGGCGTGAGTTTAAGCCATTGGGTCCGGGACGCGAACTGCGGTCAACTACATGGGAGTCCAGTGACATAGCCATTATGCTAACTGCTGGTCCTGGTGGGGGTCATTTCTCACTTTCCCTTTCACTGTCTCTATTTCTCTATCAAGTGTACATACCCTATGGCAAAAACTTTAAAAACAAACAAAATGTGGCCAGATAAAGGTTTCCAAATGTGGTAGGCTGAATAATGCTCACCACATTATAATAACTACTCTTCCCCCAAAGATGGCCATATCCTAATTGCTGGAACCTGTTAATGTTATCTTATGTGGCAAAAGGATGATTAAGTTAGATGCTGAAGTGGGGAGACTATGATGGATTACCTGTAAACACGAGAGGAGGAAGGACAGTCAGGACTGGGGAAAGGATATGTGAGGTCAGACGCTAATGTCAGAATGATATGGGGCCATAAATCAAGGATGTGCAGAAGGCAAGGTAACGATTTTCCTACAGTGCCTGCAAAAGTAACAGAGCTGCAGGACCCAGCTCAGAGCGCGGCCTATAGAAATGGAGGAAAATACATCTGCGTTGTTTTGAGCCACTAAAGTTGTGGTAATTTGTTATGGTAGCCATAGGAAACTATGGATTCTCTTTTTTAAAAGATTTATTTATTTATAGTTATATTTATTATCATTATTCTTCAATTATGACCAGAGAGAGACAGAGAGAAAGGGAGAGTGAGAAAGTGATTTGCTAGGTCCAGGACTTGAACCGTAGTTGCCCATGTGGGAGTCTAGCACCTCAACCACCACACCACCTGCTGGCCCTGGGCAACTACGGATTCTATAGTTATAGATTATGGTACTTGGAAATGGGGTGCTACTGTAAGAAATACTTAAAAATGTAGAAGTGGCTTTGGAATTGGGTAATAGGGAGAGGCTGTAAAAATTATGGGAGCATGATTATTAAACAGCCTAAGCTTAGACTGCTTTAAACACAACATAGGTAGTAATATGGATGTCAATGACTAAGCTAGTGAAAACACAGAAAGATGTGAGAGGAACAGTAGGAGAAAACCTACACTGTCTTACAGAATACCTAAATTGTCATAAACAGACTGCTGGTAGAAACGATCATTTCAAAGGTGCTATTAGGGCTGAGAAGGATGTCAGGAGTGCGTTATTAGAAACTGGAGAAAGGAATCCTTGCCATGTGGCAAACAGCTTAGCTGAACTGCATCCTGCAGTTTCATGGAGAGCAGAATTTGTAAGTGATAAACTTGGATATTTAGCTGAAGAAATTCCCAAGCAAAGAGTCAAAGGTATGGACCGTTTTCATTTTGCTGATTATAGTAACAAGTAAGAAGAAAAAGAAAGATCGAGGTAAGATTTGCTAAGCAAAAATGGACCAGAATTTGATCATCTGAGAAATTGTTGGATTTCAAAGGAGGTAAAAAATTGATTTATTGTCAGTATAAAGTGGCCAAAGAGGTGGTTGGACAACCTTTGCTAGTGTCTTTGAAGATCAGGTCAGAAAATTCATTCATATAAAGGGTGTTTTTTTTTTTTTTTTGAGAGGTTTTTGCTATAGGGTGCAAGTGACTACCAGAATTATAGAGAGAGAGAGAGACAGAGAGACAGAAAGCAAGAAATCACCCAGCAGGAGGTATGGCCATGCTGCAAACCCTTTTCCTCCATTCTCTTTTTGGAATATTGGGCATGCACGTACACGCACCCGGTGTGAGTCTAAGCCACCGGATCCGGTACTCAAACTGTGGTCGACTACATGGGAGTCCAGCGACGTAGTCGTTATGTCATCTGCTGGCCCCCAAAGGGCTCTTTGAACAGATTATAAACATGATTTATAGGTTTTCAGGGGCTCTGAGGAAGGCCTACGATGAAGACCTTTGTTTAATTTTGTTCTGTATAGTGTTTTCCAAACTTGTCTGGCCATGAAGGGCAGAAACCACATCTGCTTGTGTATCAAATGTCTAATAAATACAGTCTCATACAAGTTAATTTTAAAACGCATTTTGATATAATGATGTGACACAATCTGCTCTTTGTATCTATAAACGAAGTTGTGCTCTGCTAAAGACCAACAATGACATATGTGTGTATTTGCACAAATGTTTAATGGAGAGGAGAAATAGTGATCAGGACTGAAAAAAAAATCATGATGCCTTAACAAATGGTGAGCAAACTGCATTAAGGTGAATTTAATATCAGTAACGTACACGTTACAATGCCTTTCATGTGTCTTTGCTCTACACGTTCGTTAACTTACCAATGGCAGCTTTGCCCCAGATTTGTACACTGAGATCTGTTTTTCCTTTTGTGGATCTATTTAGTATTTGAAGGTGAGTTTTAAATCTGTGTTGTTGCTCATTTTTTTCATCTCCTTCCCAAGGATTCCATTCTTCACTTCCCAAAGTAGACTGCTCTGTTTTTAAAAGAGTTAACAGTGTTAACCAGTAGGTATAATTGTTGTTAGATAAATTTAAGTTGTAGATAAATCTGTCATTTAAATGCGACGTTAAGTTTTCTAATATTGCTCTAACTTCAATTTTGCAGAGATAAAGCAACTGAATTGGAACTAAACACACACAACTAAAAAAAAAAATGTGACTTAATTTTTGTTGAACTTTCACTGTGAATGATTTAGAAATAAAATGTTAATACAAGACAGGAAAATTATCTTCCCCCAAACAAAACCTTTCAAAACAACTTTCAAAACACGTTAAACGTGTAACATGTATCAAGTTACTGTTTAACTTTTGCAATTCTTTATCAATTCTATGTACTAACTACCTCGGCATAAAAGCTTGATTTCAGAGTGTAGGTTCCACCAGTTTTAGACACCATTGTGCAAAATTCTGAATAAAGGGAGTGATGAAGCTGAGTCCAATTCTAACTCAAGTCAAATACAGGACCGAGTAAAGAACTTGGAGGAAAAGCGCGGGGGCCTTCCGAAGCCCCTGCAGGACTAGAGAAGGCTCTTTGTGTCCAAGTGGACATAGAGGCTTAAACTCTGCTGCGATCTGTGGCCCTCCGGCAGCATTCCCGCAAATCCCGGGCATCTAAACAACATCTTGGGTTTAATACAAGTTTTCCTGGTGTGAGCACCTGTCAGCCTCGGGGGTGGGGAGCAGGGGCGGCTAGCGAGATCCAGACAAGGAAAGAAACACGTCCAGTCCCGAATCCAGGCTAGTTCTAGTCTGGAGGAGGAAAGCGCACCCTGGACAGGGAACAAGCCAGGCCCTGCTCCACCCGTCCCCGCTGCCCAGCAGCCCTAGTCCCGCCGCGCAGAGAGGAGGGGACGGCAGCCCGGGCCCTACCTCGGCCGCGCCTCTCCCGCGCCGGGGCCGCATGCCCCGCTGGGCCGCGCCCGGTGCGCGTCGGCCGCGCCCGAAGAAGACGTGGTAGGCGGCGTAGAGGGAGAAGAGGCAGTACACGGCGATGAGAAAGGAGCAGAGCCTCTTCCGCGTTAGCCGCATCCCACTGGGACTCCCTGTCAGAGCTTCTCCGCAGCCATGGTGCCGGCGGAGGAAGAAGCTCAACGCCGCGGCGGAGACAGCGCTCACTGCAGTAGGCCCAGGCCTGGGAAGGCGGAGCCGCCACAGCGGTCCTTGCTCGCGGCTCCTTGGCTCCGCCCCGTGCTCCGCCCCGCCCCGACAAGCCCCGCCCAGAACCCGCCCTGGCCCCGCCCCTAGCCTTTTTGCCCCGCCCAGGCTCCCACCGCTTGTATCACTCGCCCCGCCCCTTCCAGGCCTCACCTTTAAGGAGCGTTGAGATTACTCCTGACTGGACTCTGGAATAGGGGATTGCGAGGTGAGTTCGTCTTGACTGCTGCTTCCCATCATGGGGAGAGGTAGGAGCCTCGGCAGTGAGCCCGTAACTTCCTCAGGCACAGTAAGACTTGGGGAGAAAACATACATGATTTTTGAAGGCTCTGTGAAGGCACTGACCTTTCGTGTTTTGTTCCACTTGGCACCCCTAGCCCCTAGAAGAGGGCCCGCTGCATTGGTAGATGAGTGAGTAGAACCAGCCTTCAAAAAGTTAAATGGTGATGGTTCCACACAATGGTAAATATAATTAATGCCAGTCGATTGTACTTTCAGAAATGGTTAAAATGACACACTTTCTGTTTTACATATATATACCTTACCGCAATAAAAATAGTTTCAAAATGGAATTTTATTACTATGTGTTCACTGCACAGCGACATGCAGTAATTCGTTAAACAGTGGCTATAAAATCGAATGTTGCCAATGAACTTTCTATGTGAAGCCTTGCAAAGTTGGGCTATGATATTTTGTCAGCTGTGTCTAGTAATGCCTGCTAAAATTGCCTGACAGTCTTGCAATGGTATGCTCATAACTAGGATAACGATTGTCCAAATTTGTTCATGATTAAATAGTTCCCCGGTCTTTTGTGCTAAAACGGGAAAAGTCCCAGGCAAATTAGGACTACTATGTCAAAAACTGCTCAATCTCCCATAGTTCCCTGCTTTAAAAGACCTGTTCCAGACCATTTGTACTCAGATCTCCAAATTCTACACATTTTGCCCCATCGTTTTCCTTCTGAGACTACTAAGTTTCTCTCAAAGTGTGGTTTTCTTGTTCCGTGGTAGAGTTAATAAATTTAACTTTCTTTAATCCACAAATTATTTTGGTGGTTTCTTAGGAGAAATGGCAGCTGCTTTATGTATATTGTGATAATTTAAGGATAGAGACCAATAGATGGTGTACTGGCTATGTCGCTGGATTCCCACATGGCTGACCCCAGTTTGAGACCTGGACCTGGAGGCTTGAAATTCAAGACTTGGGCATGTGCATGTGTGCCCAAAATCTTGAGAGGAGAATGGAGGAAAAGGGATTGTAGTGTGGCCGTCCCCTCTGGGGAATGATTTCTCGCTTTGTCTCTCTGGCAAGTACATGCACCCTATTGTAAAAATCTGTCAAAAATAATAATTGAAAGATAGGGAATATTATTTTATAATTGCCACAATTGTACAAATGCTACTGACTAATTATTTTACTACTGAGAACAGTACACGAGGTAAACCTAATGGGGGTTGGTGTTAACTTGAGTAGGGAAGAAAATTTAAATGATGGTGTTGCTTTACTTTACAAATGACTGCAAAACTTGATGATAAGTTTTTGTTATGCATTAAAATTACAAAGGAATCTTCTAATCGATCTAAGTCTGACAGAGTTCATTTTCCTTTCTCTTTGCTTTTAATGGTTGAGCTCAATATAATCTTATGTGTAAATTGCTTTAACCTCCTCAATTTGGGGTGGGTGAGCGGAGAGCTTGAAAAATCATGCCAGGTGTGTGTGTGTGTGTGTGTACACGTGCGCGCACACACGCATATGCACACGCATGTTGGCCCAGGGTCCCAGAAAGAGAATGGAGGAGAAGGGATTGCAACATGGCCACCCACCCAGGAGGGGATTTCTCATTTTCCCTCTCTCTGTCTCTCTCTCTCTCTCTAGCTCTCTTTGGCAAGTGTATGCACCCTATGGCAAACACCTAAAGAAAAATGAAAAAAATATAGTATTTGAGGTCTTTCCCCACTTAATTTTTGACTTTTTACCACAGGTCTTGATAGCTTATACATAATTCCCTTCAATCCATCAACTTTACACATTAATATTTTCATTAATTCACCCTGATAGAGTTATATTTTTCCCAACAGAATAGACATCTCCAGTTTATACTGCACATTCGATAGTCTGAGAAACTATTTTCTGAGGTTCGTTTTTATTTTTATAAACTGTGCTATTTTTGTTTTATAACAGGGTTATTGCTAGCTGCCACAGATGGACTGGATAGGAGTCTAGCTTTTTCAGGCCCTACAACAGTTTACAGAGCATGAAAAACACTTAGTCCTTGCAAGCTTAACTACATCTTTCACTGGCCCTTGAACTCTTGCATCTGTTTTGGCAGTTTTCATTTTCCAAGAGACTAATTTAAAAAACATTCCAATATAGGCCTTCTCTTATTTCTAATTTTATTTTGTGCTTTTTTTCATTACATTTTCAGATTTTTATTTGATTTTTAAAAATTTATTTCCCCTTCCTTTAACATTCATCTTTGGATTTGTCAGTTTTGTCTATTTTTTTTTTTTAAGAGGTATTTTGCCTCAGGTCACATGCACTTGCTGGAGAGAGACAGAGATAGGGACAGTGGGAGGGAAAGTGAAAAATCACTCCCCAGGGGGGATGGCCATGCCACGATGAGATGATTTCTCCTCCATTCTCCTCTCAGAATCTTGAGAACCTATGCACATGTGCCTGACATGAATTTCAAGCCACTGGGTCTGGGACTCAAACTGCTGGCAGTTATATGGGAGTCTAGCAATATAACCACTATGCCATCTGCTGGCCCCTGTTTGTCTATTTTGGAATTACTAGATTGGACATTGTTTTTCATTGCAGTAGTTCTCCCTCATCCACAGGAGATATGTCTCAAGATGCCTTGTGGTTATCAATCCCTATCTATACTATTTTTTACTTTTAAAGAATTATTTTATTCAATTTTATTTATCATCAACATCATTATTCTTATTTTAATTTGACTAGAGAGAGACAAAGAGAGAGACAGAGGAGGAAAGTGAGAAAGCAAGTTGCCAGGTCTGGGACTTGAATCATGGTTGGCCATGTGGGAGTGCAGCACCCCAACCACCATGCCACCTGCTGGCCTCAATATAGTATGTTTTTTTTAATCAGATAACCAATAAGGTTACTAAGTGACTAACAGGTAGGCAGCCTAGTCTGTGGCTAAACTGAACAAATGGATGATTCATGTCCTAGGTAGGATGTAGCAGGATGGCTCAAGATTTCATCATGCTATTCAAAATGGTACACAACTTGAAAGTCATAAATTGTTTATTTCTGGAATTTTTCAATTAATATTTTAAGGCTGTGGTTTATCACAGGTAACTGAATCTATGGAAAACAAAACCTTGGATAAGAGACTACCGTATTTGTTTCTTCTGCTTTCCTATTTGTTTGGTATTCCTCCTCACTTATTTAATTGAATGGTTGGCTTATAATTTTATCATTCCTTTCTAATACTGAAATAATAGACCCAGAGGGTGGTGTGGTGGTTAAGGTTGCTGGATCCCACATGATTGACTGTGTGGTTCAGGTCCTGGACCAGAGGCGTGAAAAAAACAAAACAAAAAAACAAAAAAACAAAAAAAAAAAAAAAAAAGAAAAGAAAAAAGGGGCCCGCAGGTGGAGTGGTCATTGAGGGCACTGGTCTCCCACATGGCTGACCACGGTTCAGGTCCTGGACCTGGCAGCTTGCTTACTCTCTCTCTGTCCCTCTCTGATCAAGTTAAAATAAATAAAAATAAATAAAGTTAAATAAAATAATTAATTTTTTAAAAAGAAAGAAAAGAAGCAATAGAAACCTATTAATTTACCTCAACAGCACTGGTCACATTCTCCAGGTGCATTCTTCATTATTTGGGTTTTTTAATTTGGTCCAGTAGAGGTTATGAAAGCATGACTGGCTTTTTCTTTTTCACTCTCTTCCTTCCTTCCTTCCTTCCTTCCTTCCTTCCTTCCTTCCTTCCTTCCTCCTTCCTTTCTTCATTCCTTCTTTATTTTTTAGAGAGAGATTTTTGCTAGTGGACACATGCACTTGCCAGAGAGACAGAGAGAGACAAGGAGGCAGAAAGTGAGAAATCAGTCCCCAGGGAGGATGGTCATGCTGCAATCCATTCTCTCCTGTTTTCCTCTTGGGATCTTGGGCATGCACGCACACGCACCCAGTGTGAGTTCTAAGCTGCTGGGCCCAGGACCCAAACTGCAGTTGACTATGTGAGAGTCCAGCGATGTAACTATTACTCCATCTGCTGTTCTCGACAATGTGGCATTTTTATTTATTACCTAGTAGTAAGGATTTGTTATGGTCAGGCTTTTTTATTACTTTTTTTTTTTTAAATTTGCTATGGATACATGCACTCAGCAGAGTGTGCGTGTGTGTGGGAGAGAGAGAGAAAGAGAGAGAGAGAGAGAGAGAGTGAGAAAGCAGCCCCCAGGGGGGTGGCCATAATGTAATCCCTCTCTTCCATTCTCTTCTTGGGAATTTGGGTACACATGTGCTTGTGCCCAGCTTGTTTTATCTTTTTTTTTTTTTTAAACTTTATTTATTTATTTATATTTCTATCTGTCTGCCTTAGAAGGCAGTTTTTTCAAGCTGTCAGGTCCAGGACTCAAATCACATAATAGGCCATCTGGGATCTAGCTGCCTTAACTACTACACCACCAGCTGGTCCATAGGTATCTTTTAATTAATTAATTAATTTGGGGTTATTTTCTCTTCTGTGAATTATCTCTTCATATTTTGCACAGCTAGCTGGGGCACAGTCTCCCCACCCCCACCATGCCCAACCTCCAGGTTGGACTTGGAATAGAACATGTGGTCCCAGCCTGCAGAGCACAGCGATTAGCCGCATGCTACTGAGACTGGGCCATCGTGAGAATTATTTTTTTTTAAACAGCTGATAATCAATGTATTAAAATAGCTGACTTAAGCATTTGCAGTGGTGACTTCAACCTCAACTCCTGGTTCAATACTGATGGGTATAATCTGTTTAACAATCTCAGGAGGACTGTGCCAATCAATGAGTC